CCCAAGAAAGGAAATAGGTTTGGAACGAACGAACAAGGCTATATAAGAAAATGCTTACCAGAAGTGCTTAGAGGGTGGGAAAAAATGTTGGCATATTATAATATTATTTCTGTGGGGGGGGGGATAGTTTTGAAGGGGACAACATTAATTTTAATGAATAAACAAATACTTTTTGATAACACTTAAAAGTCACCTTAGTTTTTGAACACACCTCGTGCATATATCCATATATTAAACTTAGATTTAGAAAAGCGTCTCAACTGTCATAAAACATATTATATATACAGCCGGAACCGTATTAACATAAGGCGCACGCTCTGAAAACAATTTCTTCTCAAAATTCTCTGAATATATCGCACAAAATAACCGAAACCTCTTCTGTTATGACTACTGATAACGACCATTGACGCTCGAAATCACAGCTCGCGGAGAGCTCTCGTCGATTGTAATCAAAATTGTGGCGAATTGTGGTCGAGCACGTCGAGAAAATTAGGTTATCTTTTTTCTTTTTTGTCGGCGTGTTCGTGTGGGCCGGGCCTAAGGCGTTTCACGCGATCGCGACAGATTGATTGCTTCTAAAAATATAACGATAAATGATTCCCGCGAGGGAGGCGAATTAATGAAATCACTGGAAGAAACAACTTTGTCATCGATCAAAAAGGGGGCTCCGGGCCTCAAAGTGGCGCCCGACAAAGTCAAAAACCACGTGCGTGTTTGAACGGCCGTGGACGTGACGTTGAGCCGCAAATATAAATTAGTGAAAATTGCGCAAATTCACAGGCGAAAGTTCGAAACGTGCGGGTCCGGATTATCGTTGTGTGGGAGGGGGGTGGGGGGGATTTTTTCAATTGTGGTCTATCCCAGAAAGCTGTAGAGTAATTTTAACACTCTAGGTGTTATTTTAACAGAATATAAACTTCGCATTGTTGGCAGCAACTTTTCTGTTTTACAAAACACTGATATCTCAACCTGAATAATATTTTTTAAATGAAACACGCTGTAGATTTTACAGGTATTCGATAGAATACGTTATTCTGATACAAAAATAGTGTATTTTATTACCCCTTACCCCTTATATTTGCAAAAAATGAGAGCAAATTAGATTTTTCAAAGAAACGCTACTATTTACAAATCTTCTGGATTTGTTTGTATTGTTTGAGGGGGGGGGGGGCGGAGCTAGAGGAGGAGCAACAACGTTATCTGGGATGACTGATTCTCACATTAGTGAAAGGTAAAGCCCTGAATCGCGGTTAACATTATTTGGTTGCCTATAGATTCTTGCTAGATGAATTGATTACATGTATTAGTTTTATCGAATAAAATTTAATATCTGCTGATGAGTTTATTTGTAGTAGTCTTAACGCTCTTTTATGCTCTTTACCTAGTTTGCATGGAATGCTGTAAACTCCTGGTATCACTTTTGAAATGTGGTCAGTAATATTTTGAATGTAAGCAAGGGCGACAGTGGCAAGTATGGGGCTGATTTCAGACTCTTTGGGAGGTTGTGGTGAAACGTATTTTGGGATGGAACGCTTAATATCTGTAATGTGGAAATGATCAGAAAGGAGAGCAGATATAGAATGTTTTCTGGTTTCATTGACTCTCGTTGCGATAGTTTTACGGCTCAAAGAGAGTGGATGATGTTGCGTCGGATGGTGATGTGACAATGCTTGAAGGTATCGGTCTGTGAATAGGTTTTCTGTACCGGTACCAATTTTCTATTGATAAGAATATCTAAGAATGGGAGTCTCAAAAAACTAGGTCTCTTTTATATGAAACTGATTTTATACCATTATACGAACAACAAATGAAGCGTAAATTTGTGAAAGACGAACATTCTTTTAAGCACTTTTCGTTTTTATCTTTTCTCAATAATTGTAACTTCTGCATCTGCCACTAATGTCATTTTTTTTCGGCTTAGGTGGCTTCAACAAAAGCAGTACGTTTTATATGCTCTGTATAAACTATCTGTATAAAAAAAGCGAAAAGCTTTGTTCGCCGGTTCCGAGAGTTAAGCAGATTATTTTGCAACAATTCGAACCGTATACCCGTTTGATTTTATTTCCAGCGAGCACAATATGGCCTTAAACGATTTAAACCGGTAAGTGTGAAACTTCAGTCTTCCGGTTCTGGGACAACGCATTGGAAAATACGCTCGCGAGAGATTAGCGACCGAATTGAAAAGTTTTCCGGTTCACTTCAGACGAAACGGGGATTGGAAAACGAGCTATATTATATGAAAAGCTTTCTATTAGGGTTGACATTTCCAGCATAAATCTAAGTCCTAGACACCTCTGAACCACAATGTCTCCATTTATTTTTGAATTAAATATTGTAAATGTAAGTAAAGCATCACCATATTCCATATTGTGTGCGTGCAACTAAAATTATCAATTATATAAAGGCAACTTCCTTAGGATAAAAGTGGGATAGACGCCGCACCTTAAAAAAAGAGAATTTAAAACCAAGTTCACGCTCTAGTACCAAGTTCCTCGGACAAACCTCGCCCCGCACCGCACAGCACAGTCTGCGCACGCGTTTTGACAGGACTGCACGTGTCGCCGCTTGAGTTAAAGAAACGTTGCCAAATTTTACCGCGCTTGCGTGATTCTTGTGACAGTGACATTTTGACGTGTTCAGAACTTTCGTTTTCGAAGGTAAGTGTGTATTGTTATTTAAATAGTATGTATCATTTATATTTATGGTGTGTTTATAAAATTACGAAATAATTTAAGTATTTTTATTTATTTGCTGGGGCGTCTATCCCTACTAAAAAGGATAGAGGCTCCACTATTGACTGAGTATAGACGCCCTTAGAGGCATATATCCTCTATGACTTATTCACAGCTACTTAGGCTATAGGTAGGATTTTTTTAAATAACTTATCTAGTTAATATGCAACTTAGTAGGAAAATTGACATTCCAGTTTGTTTATGAGCTGTTTATACCTTTACATGTCGTACTTGTAAAAAATAATTCAGCGTATCACCTAATTTCATTTTTTATTTTAGACAAAATGCTGCTTGGTCTGAAGAAGCCCTTGGCAAAGCTTTTGGGGAAATGGATCAAGGCCAAGTCGGTGCAAATGAAATATCTCGTCGTTATGGTATTCCATCTCGAACTTTGAGGAGGCGATATGCTAAAAAAAGCCGTGAAAAACTTACTTTGGGTAAGTAACAGAGGAATAAATTGCCCTAATCAAATTCAATTTAGGCACCGTCTTCTTAGTTTGTTTTTTCATACTTGTCCCTTTTGAATCTTCAGTTTTTTTTCTGTACCTATTAATTTCTTCTTTTTCAGAAAAACGTCCCACACTGAACTTTGACAGCGAGAAACGTCTCGTAGCGCACATGCAAAAATTAGAAAAGGCAGGATTTCCCACAATACGACAGGATGTAAGAAGAGTCGCTTTTGAATTTTCCGAGAAACTGGGATTGGAAAATTCTTTTAACAAAGAGACACGTATGGCTGGCCAGCACTGGCTCATATCATTTCTTGAACGACAAGGATTAAATCGAGATGAAGTAAACAAAAGGTTTGAATTGTTGCTAAAAGTACTAACTGAAAATGATTTGATCGATAAACCTGATCGAATTTATAATACTGACGAAACTGGAGTTCAAATGAACAATAATCCTGATAAAGTTATTGCTACTAAAGGTAAAAAAGTAGTAAATTCCGTCACTTCTAGCGAAAAAGGTGAGACAATGTCAATTATAGTTTGCTGTAACGCTGTTGGCAACTATGTTCCTACGGTGGTCATTGTTCCTTGTTTTTTTCCAAAGAAATCCTAAGGGACGGATTTGTTTTAAATTTTATTATTCCTAAATTTAATTCGGTAAAGTTTTAAATAATTTTTAATAGACGTTGTTATGTTGCTAGGTTTACCCAAAGAATGATTGAAAGACTGAGCCATTTGTTCCTATAAAAGTGCCATTTACTTTAGTTTTACGGTAAATTTGGATAAGAAAACCTTATAATATATTATTGCAACTAAGATTAAATTTTTTGTTTTTTTTTTGCTCCAGATATTTTTTTCTGAAAAATTTGGGGCACTTTATACTGGTCATTACAAAAATAAAACGTCTTAAATATCTTTTGTTATACCAACAGGACATTGAGTTTCTTGGCTTTGCCTGTGCCTTTTTTTATTAGCATTTCTGATGGCTGGGGTTGAGATTCTACTTCGTTTTTGATTTACTCACTGGGAATCGTTTCATCTTCAATAGTCATCTGTTTGTCAGCTTAAAACTTCTGTCTTTTTTGACGCTTCACCTGTTCCCCTCATTTCTTTGAAAAACTCTACCAATAATAAATCGAGAACTCGTTCAGTTTCTTCCAAGTTTTCAGGCAACCATCCAGGAATCTTCCTTATCGATAATCATTGGGTACAGTCCTTTGGCTCTAAATCCTGATTTTAAATTTGTCTCTATGGTCTGTGAAGCTTTGTTCCACAGAGGCTGTCACTGTCACCAATGGTCAACACAAGAAATATATCAGAAAGAAAGAAATAAACGTGGCCCACCCCCTGCCTTTAACATAGTTAAAGTTTTATCGAACATTAAGACAGACTACACTCGTAATGCACCACGTCATATTCAAAGCCAGTATAATATTTCCATTAAAGCATATGGCGGTTTTCCATTCCTCTTTGTTCCAAGTCTTCAATTTGTTTGACTGCAAAACTAAGCTGTTTCAATTTTAGAGTCAACGTTAAACCCGTTTGAGTAGATTTTCCAGTAGGTTAATTCTTATCTTTTCCAAAAACGTACACATAAACACTTTCAACAATCACAAAATTCGATCTTTTGCCAAAAAACAATCAGTTTTCCTTATAAAGAAATGTTATTTACTTTGTTCCGGACGCCATATTGAATTTAATTTGACAGCTCCTTGGATTGAGTAATTGTTATTGTTGACATGATGTTTTCGAATCTTTTAGTCGCATTTGAGATATAATTTTCCACCATGTTCGCAAATAAATTAATTTGGACGCTTACCTCGATGGGGATCATAACGAAGGTGACTATGAGATCGGCGACGGCAAGGTTCCGGATCATAAGGGACACCCTCGACTTCCTGTGACGCGACCTGAACAACGATATAAAGACTGTCAAATTTCCAATGGCGGCCGTTACGAACAACGCCGAGTACACCAATATGACCGGAACGTTCGGATTCGCGGTCACCTCGAAGAACGAAGTCCGATTTGGTGCCGATGACGTACAGTTCACGTCCGAAACTGTATAGTTGCGGAACTCGAATTCCCACTCGCATTCGGTAGTATTCATCGCACTGCTATCTACCGGGGAGAATAGGAGGTACGGTGCTTCGCGGTCCTCATAATGTTGCTTTAATAGAGGCGCAGGCAGGTAGGATGTTGCTCGGTAATGTTCGTCTCCGTGCCGCCATGACCTGCTGATGAGAAAAAGAATTTTTGCGTCACAGAGTTCGCTACAAGTACAAGTCAATTTGATCGAAAAGAAACGGATAGCGACTGAATCGGAGGTCAAAGTATAAATTTAATTCTTTTAAGAGATTTTTGCATTTTGCGATGCATAAATGATGGCGACCAAAATAAAAGCAAAATGGAATTGGAAAAAAAAAAACGTTTTCTCCTGCTTCAAGGTATCGATCCGAATCGTAAAGTTAAATTTTAATGTCTTCGTCATATTCAGGTCACCGCACACAAATGTGAATCTGGAATTTCAGTTCGGTAGCTTTTGTGTTGTCGTAAATACGATCGCAATTGTGATTGAGACGCCTATGAAGTTGCACGGTAGTAAAAGTTATTCCTGGACGTTTTGAGCAATCAAATCTACAAGAGTTTCAATTATAACTTGTCAACGTGAAGCAATTCAAAAGGGAAATTACAAGTGAAAATCGATTTCTTTTGAACTATAGAAAAGCATTCTGGAATTTTTCCTACGCAGTCACTTAATTATTCAATCAATATTGAAACTAAATTGGAGGCAATCGATGGAGCCATAGTAACCTAATGTTTTACGTATTAGTTCATTACAACTTCGGGTAATATATGAATCATTGCCGGCCTAATGAAGTAGTTTGAAAATTAGAAAACTAATTTTCTCCTAATGGAAGCGCTCAATATTCTATTCACATTTACCTTGGTAAATATGAGGTAGGCTGATATCGCAGAAAATTGTAGTGTTTTGCGGTATCCACCTTACAAAATATATATTAAATGGTTAAATAAGTTTTCGAAAATGTCACATTGTAAACTATCGTGCAGAAATCAGCGTTATTAAATTTTTCTTAAATTTTGTTAAAATAAATATAAACGAGTATTTTCGCAATTCATTCATTGCAAAATTGTAAAAATTGTGAAATAAAAGAAAAATCTACTAAATTTAAAAAATCATATGAAATATATGAAGTATGAAGCATGAAGTACAAAGTTTTCGTATGTACACTACTAGAAAAATTATAAAATATAAAAAAAATATAAGGAAATGCAAAAATGAAAAAACTAAAAAATTAGTGCAAACACAAGTGCTTGAGAAAAAGATATTTTAAAATGGTAAACTACAACTTCTCTCGAAAAGGAAATATTTTTCTGCATTTGATTGGAGAAAAACTATTTTAAGTTTAATAATATGATCATGGACATGTTCCACTGTCATGATCGCTTAGTAAACCCTTTGCTTAACCCAAAGTCCTAATAATGCTTTTGAACCCTCAGATAGTCCAATGCTTCTATATATATATATATATATATATATATATATATATATATATATATATATATATATATATATATATATATATATATATATATATATATATATATATATATATATATATATATATATATATATATATATATATATATATATATATATATATATATATATATATATATATATATATATATATATATATATATATATATATATATATATATATATATATATATATATATATATATATATATATATATATATATATATATATATATATATATATATATATATATATATATATATATATATATATTCTCACGTATTGATTCACGGATGGAAAAATGTGATGACACTATACTCCGGGATATCATCCGTTCGCTCGTTGAACTCCGACTGGAATCCTGCATCCGACTGGAATCCTGCAAATCCTGCATCCGACTGGAATCCTGCAGACGTTTCGCCAAAATCTCACTTGGCATCTTCAATGCTCGCGCTCCGAAAACACTTCGAACACTGTGTGTGATGATATCCCGGAGTATAGTGTCATCATATATATATATATATATATATATATATATATATATATATATATATATATATATATATATATATATATATATATATATATATATATATATATATATATATATATATATATATATATATATATATATATGTATATATATATATATATATATATATATATATATATAGAATTTCAAATACAAAAAAAAATCAAAAAATTCAAAAAGGAAAAATAATATAATAAAAGTCCTAATAATACTTTTGAACCGGCATAAAGTACAATATTATACAAATACAAAAATATAAGAAAAATTCAGGAAATTCATACAGGAAAAAATAAGACAGTACAAGTGGGAGCGCTTGGGAGAAATATATTTTAAAATTGAAAACTATAACTTCTCTCAAAAAGGATTTTTTTTTGCATTTGCATGATAATGAACATAATCGACCGTTATGATCGCTTAATAAACCCTTTGCTTAACCGAAAGCACTAATAATGCTTTTGGACCCTATTTGATCAGACCCATATTACACGTCTCACTGATGTCGCCTAAATTAAATTTCCATTCGTAATGAGATTAAATTTGACAAAGCCCCAAAGTTTTCTGCCCGAAAGGACTTGCCAGTATACAGTTAGAAGTTGGAAATTCCAAGTCACAAGCGGTTATAATGTCGACCCAAACTTCCACAAGTTTAGAGAAAAATGGTATCGGCAACGTCGCACTTTAGATCTGTTACCACTACTAATAGGATTAGACTTTTTATTAGTTTGAGTGTAACCGAAAACTGTTTCGTGTTATTTTTGAACATGCTCAGAAAGTACGAAAATGGCCTGCGAGGCTGGTCAAGTTTTACATGACGTTCACTTTTTCTTTCGTATGAAGTAGATTTGAAAACAATGTTCCACTCGTGTGAAATATGCAAAAATTGATAATATATATAATATATAATATAATATAAGTGAAAGTATTTTTAAATTTAGAAAAGAATAAATAGAAATAATCATTTTTTGTAATCTGATTTTTATTTAGGACAAAATGGCATGATTCAAGATAAAGATTATTATTTATCTCAAAATAAAACCGTTTTTAGGTCTAACCAATGTATTAATTTATTCTTAAATTAAATTATTCTAAAAAGGTTTGCTTTTTTTCAACTTTGTGGATAGTTCCTAAACCGACCTTTCTATCCGAAATGCATTTTTCTCCCGAATTTCCACTGCATTATCGTGCGGTCGCGGTCCAATATTTTCCGGAAGTTTTTCCGTGCGCGAACCGCTTTTCCGGCTCGTTTTCCGGAACCGTGAGCAGAGAACTGAACCGCTTGTGAATGAACGGCGGGATCAAAAAGGAAAACCCACTTGTTGAAAGGTCCCTGCGCGGAAAGTCGTCCGGTCGCTCGTAAACCCAAAAACCGAGCGCGTTCCGGCGGGAAGCTTTTTTGAAAAACGTTTTCCGGATCCGTTATCGACAGCTTGTTCAAGCAGGGAGACATTTGTTATATTCAAATATTTTTCGAAAATTAATTCATTCATTCTTCACTCACATCATTTTTCAAAATGTTTAAATATTTTATTATTATGATGATGATGATGACGATGATTATTATTATTTTTTTATTATTATTATTATTGATTTTTTCCATTTCCACAGGTAAGTACTTTGGACAAGGCTTTCAGCAAGTGCCCACATAAATTAGTGATGTTAAATCTGTTTTGTTTTCAGGAATTGACATTCAAGACCCTCCGAGTAATGTGGCATGTTCCCAGTATGGATGCCTTCTGAAGCTTAGGGTACAGTTTCGGTGGTAGTTGCAACGTTTGAAGGCTCCAGTGTAGTCTTCGTCATCAGTTGCCCCCAGAATAACCACTTTCTCTTGGTTCCAGATTGTTTTCACTTCGACGCCGATTGGCACGTATTTTCCGACTTTCTCAACCTGTGTTCCCAGGACGATATGGGCAGCCGGTACAGCAATATCTATCAGGTACGTAATTTTGTTGAGTTTGTCTTCCATGGTGTGGTTCTGTTCCAGTATATTTTGTTGGTTTCACTTTCAGTAACAGGTTCTGCCGTGTAGGCATAATAAGGAGGCATCTCCATCAAAACACCAATTCTTTGGGCTATTTCCTGGTGTATTACTTTAGCTATGTTATCGTGCCTTCTAAGGTATTCTGTTGAAGCTAAGGTTGTGCATCCAGCAATTATGTGTCCTATGATTTCTGATTTTTATTATTATCATTATCATCATCATTATTATTATTATTAATATTATTACTATTACTATTTCTATTATTATTATTAATATTATTATTAAAGGCGCCGCAGAACTGAAACAACTTCACTGTTTCACTTCACAACTCAATTGCTTCACTGCTGCTGCTAAATATAGTTATTTTTATGTTTTACAAATTCTACACGCTGTACGCTATGTCATGTCATTTCCCTATCAAAGAATTTTATTTTTCAATAACCAAATCAATCCTATATGTGGGGTGCACTGCAATTAGTTGCTCCAGTATTACGTTTGGCTGTTGATATTATTATTAAAAAATCCGGTTGGCTGTGAATCTTTTGTTTGCGTGATAGTAAATGCTAATTATGTAACCATCCAAATCCGAAAAATAATATTTAAGTTCTATAAATTACGTAATATGTTATCTAGGGAGGGACTAAAAATGGTTTATTTTTCACTAATACAGCCTTTAAAAATTTAAAAAAAATTTACATGTCTCTCAAACGATTAAAACTAGTTCCAAGCAAGTTTTTAGTAACAGAAGTTGAGATTGTGGTCGGTCAATGACGTAATAATCGTTGAACACCAAATACCACAGTACGTGACATAGTTGTGAATGGTGTCCAACAAAGCAATACGCGGAAAGATCGTGGGGTCCCAAAAAATCTACTACACCATGCCCACCAATATATGATGCTTATCAGAATATTGTTTTGACAAATAAAACTTTACATAAAGTGTTGCGTAATGTTTTGATCATTGACTGTTGCCAAGAGACTTTGCGTGCGTTCGTACGAAGAATTGGTCTTGGAAAAATATCTGCTTCCAGATGGAAAAAACGTGTACATCATATCATGTTTACAGAATTCGACTGCATATTGCTTTATTTACTAACTATTATTACTCCTTCATTTGTATTTAAATTAAACATTTTAATGTAAGGATGGATTTTTCACTGCATGGAATAATAATTATCGAGGAATGTCATTTGTATGCACGAAGCACCGTGCATACAAATGTCGTGTCGTAAAAATGGTATATCGTTAGGCGAACTATACCTAAATCCGTAATGTGCTGATTGATACGATAAATCCAGTCAAAAAAATTGCTAAAACAGCTAAATGAGGTGCTAATAAATAAAATAAGTGAATTAGTAGCCCCGGGAAATAAAATATTGTAACGGTTTCTTGTTACGTTATTAAATGTTCCTAATCGAAATTTATTCGCCCAATTTAAACGTAATATATACGGAACCCTTTTGAAAATGAGTTTAGGGCCAAGCGATTATAATCGAATATACACCATAAATATACCCGAAATTTGCCCACTTAATTTTCAATTTCAATGTTTTATGACCCGACCGTCTTCACTTTTAACGGAGTACGGGAAGGCGCGGGGGCATGTCGGTCCAAAAAGAAAACCAGATTTGTCGGTAAAATTTGGGTCGCTCCGATAAAAAAGAAAACAACAGGCAAAGAATTAAATTCAATTATTCCATCGAGGAGGTCTTTTGTTTTCAAGGTTTTGGGGCGATGAGTTTTTTCGCCTCCTCCCAGTTCTTTCCATTCGAACGCTGCAAATACGGATACGGCGATATCGGTCCGCCCGTCGCTATAATGGAGACGCGGCGCGGAAACAAACAAACAGGAAATCGCATTATAACGTGCCGAGTTTTCCGAACCGGTAGTGGGGGTGTGTTTGCCTCTAAAACATTAAATTCCCGTCGCTTGCTTTGGCGTTAATGATGTGACAGTTTAATCGGAATGTTTAACCAAACTTCTATAACTTCGACATTCATCAGTCAGCGGTGCGTTATTGCGATAGCGATAACTTAAACATTTATTGATAAAATAATATGTTACAATTCTGTCCCAATTGGAATCTAAACACTGTCGGTGGTTGGGAAATGATTTCTAACATTTCGCTACCTCAAGTACCAAACTTCTTCAGCCTCCTTTAGATTCCAAGCCGGCCATCGGCTCACCAACTGTCCTATTTGTCAAAATAACTTTTATTTATATATTTATTTATCTTTTTTAAGAAGTTTTCCTAACAGGCCAATGGTACAAACCATGAAATAGTTTTGGTTGGTTAGGAAACAAAGAAGAAACCTTATTCCCAGGGAAAAATCGAGTCGTTGTCCACAATTCTATGGGCTCCAAAAGATACATGAAGACGGGGTTCCCCTAACTAACCAGTATGCAAGCTGGAAAAACATCTAGCCAGTGTATTACAGCCCATGGTGGAAAAGGCAGATTCCTATGTCAAAAATTCAGAACCTTTCACTCAGGTTTTAGGTTCTCTCAGGATTATAGCAAATGCCTATCAATCTAACATTCCAGTAGAGGAGGCACTCCTACTTATAGAAGAAAACGAAGATCTTCCGCCGTATATAATGGATCTGTCAAGACGCTGCCGGAAAAATGCTTACTATGTTATATATATATATATATATATATATATATATATATTATAAATATTCCGACAAGTAGATGGATCATCTCTATCCCCTGTGATTGTCAGCCTCTTTATGATTTACTTCGAAAAGAAAGCAATAGAGACGGCAAATCTGAAGCCAAAACTATGGACTAGATACGTTGATGACGTATTTGTTGTATGGCCTTTTAATACGGAGGAGCTTTTGAAATTGCTAGAACATCTTATAAAACTTATAAAATACATGTTTTAGAAACCTTTTGTTCTAATGCATTTTTTTTAATAATATGTGTTACCAAAAAAAAATCAAATTTAAATAGATGCACAACGTAATAATAGTATATTATGAAACAGGTATGGTAAACAGAATTTCAATCATGTAGACGTCTACGTCCAACATCGGAGGTGGAAGGACCTCTGAAGAAGCTCGCCACTCGTGCTAGCGAAACGTTAGGAAGTAATTTCAACCGACGACGGCCTTTAAACCCGAATCAAGATAATAGCTTATCAACGGGCCGCGAAAGCCTTAAAAATTTATCAAATTGAATCATTATTTTTCCACCAGGATTGTAGCATGATATCTCCCGAGAAACCACACTTTATTTTAAACTTTGTATTTCGTGCTGTCCAAAGTGTATATCAATAAATAACATTTTTTTTAGTTGCTCCTTTTTAAATGTTTTGCTGTCCAGAACAAATCTAATAAAATATGGTTGTTTGTGAGCACTTATGTGGTAGGTGACGTTTTAAGGTAGATTGCTTAATAGTTTCCCTAACCACTTGGTTTTAGAAACTAACCTCAAAAACGAGCTTTTTAGTTAAAGCAGGCAACACTGTAAATATACGACGATTTTTTTATAATTGTTGTCGCTCTTGTCAACAATAATCTGCTATCATTATTGGTACCCAATAGTTTATAGTGATATATATATATATATATATATATATATATATATATATATATATATATATATATATATATATATATATATATATATATATATATATATATTTTATATTTCACTTTTCAAAAATAACTTTTTTAAAAAATATATTTATTAACTTTAAATTAAAGTAAAAATCAAAATGAAATTGGACGTAATAACCTCGTGACGAGAGAATGTTATTAGACCGTTAAAATCAAACTAAAAATGGACATAATAACCTCGTGATGAGAGAATGTTATCAGACCGTTAAAATCAAACTAAAAATGGACATAATAACCTCGTGATGAGAGAATGTTATCAGACCGTTAAAATACAAGTAAAAATGGACATAATAACCTCGTGATGAGAGAATGTTATCAGACAACGTTTTACAATAGAAATTCGTATTTATAATAAATTTATGCTGACGTTGACGGGGTCGACGGCTGCGGATGTTGCGACATATCGTTGACACGACGTTTTCGCAATCGTTGCACTCTTGCAGGTCGGTTGGATTTAACCCATATGGACAATAGGATTTCCGGATATAACAGCTCCCCCATTAAGTGAAAAGGTGGAGCCTTGCTGCAGCTTTCGTAGACTAATTAAAGCGTAGCTTCTCGGGTAGTTACTTCTGGGTGGATGCTAGTCCGTCTTTTCGGAGTTAGTGATTTGAGTTGCATCGGGAGCAGGGGTCTTCGACCTGGCTTCGGAGGTTGTCGAGGATCGTTACCATCGGCGATGCTGAGTATTGTCGGTTTCTTTCTCCGGCATTTGCAAATGAAACAGCAAAGTATTAGTTTCAGGGGTTTCAACTCTGGGGGTTGAAACTGGAATTTGAGAACAGCAATCATATGGAATCTTAACGGCGTGGCTCTTGTAGGTCACGTTCTTATATTCTGCGACACAGTGTTTAGCTCGTACTCTGGAGCTTCCAATAAATGCACTCGAATTTGTTTGCAGCTTTTTAGATCTTCAGGTATTACATAGAGTAAAGAATCGTCATCACGCGCAATATATTTTATTATTGTTGCAATTATATGAAATAAACGTGTTCGATTGTCCAAAATTGGAATAGGTAAAACACGATACAATGTGTCTATTTCAGGTTCTATTAAGGGAATTCTTGGTACAAAAACAATTTTATTTTCAGTTTGAAATGGTTCTAGCTCCATAATATCTACGTACCTTGCAATGCTCGAAGTATGGGGTGGTAGTGATAAATTATTTTTTTTTTGTCAAGGATTTTGAAATTTCCTGAAGAGAAATGACTAAATCTCGTGGGTAAATAATAGAGCAATGTAAAACTTTGATTCGTGTGAACGTGATTGCGTTTAATATATCGCTGAGGTAAGACTCTAGGTATACATAACCTTCCGTAAAGCTTTCGCAAAGATTTAGTGTTTTTAATTTGACATT